TAAATCTTGCTTTGTAGCAGGATCCCTAAAGGCAGGTTTGCATGCACTTGCATCATCCTAAAGCTGCCCTGTTTATCTTTGTAAAAATTATTTCCATAATATAGCTTCATGTTAGATTTCTACTTTGGTTAATTCCGGGCTTAGTGCTTACAATTTTCTCAGACAAGGTATTTTAAATTTTGTTTTGTTTCAAGTGCACATATCCTTACTGCAGAGAAATCCTCCAGGAACCCGATGGTATTGTTCTCTCTCACTATCTTTTCAAAATGGGTGAACCTTCTTGCCATTTATAGTTACATCTCAGGATCTGGTACTTACGCTCAGCCTTTCTAAAATAAAAATCTTACCATCACTGGATCCTTTTTGCTTCTTGTATTTGTGTTTGTTTTCTTTCTTTCCTGATGACTTTTTCTGGTTAAAGATTTCCTGTGTTATGTTGCCATGTGCACCCCAACTACTGAGCTATACCAAATCAGCTTTATTGTGGTGAGGGGTAGTGTAAAATCCCACTGTGTTTCCTCTGCTTCATTAGGTAAGAGTTAAAAGATTCATCAGGAATCACAATAACCCAGTATGAATCCTCAGTAGTTCAACTGATTTAACTTAAAAGAACACTGCTGTACCTAAGACCAAAATGGAGATTTCCTTTGCTTTTTGTGTTCTTAGCCTTTATTTCACCCTTTATTTTGTTTCTCTAGTTCTCAATATTCCAATCCTTTCTAATTTCTGCAGAATGATTCATATCTTCTATTGATGTTTGATTGTGCTGTGTATCTGCCTACTGAGCATAACAATGCCTGCTTTTCTTTCAGCTTACTTATTACTGACTTGATATTTAATTACAACCCTCATTTAAAAATCATCTATCCTTTCTCACTGAGGGCTCCTCAGACACTTATAAATTTTCTTTTGTTTCTTCTTTTGTCTTACCCCTACTCTGACAGTATCTGTTTTTATGAGACTGAATTGTTAATGGTACCCCTTTTATATACACATCAGTAGTATGGTAGCCTTCGGATTCACATTAGACATTTTTGGCACCTGAACACTGCAAATGATTGTTTGAGTGGAAAAAAATAGTCAGTATGTGTTCCTGTAGGCAAGTTTAAGATGAAAGGAATAGCCATTTGCAGTTACAGATCTGGAAACATATAATCAGTTGGTGTTAAGACTAGCATTTCAGTCTTGCCTGTGTTATTTAAATTTGAGCTTTTTCCCCAATATTCACTGGGCAGTGCTAGAGGAAGCAATGTTCTGATCCCAAAGGAGGCACAGCTGGTTTGGCTCCGTAAGTTTATTTGAACACAAAGCTAGTTATCATAGAATCATGAAATGGCTTGGGTTGGAAGGGACCTTAAAGATCATCTCATTCCAACCCGCTGCCATGGGCAGGGACACCTTCCACTAGACCAGGGTGCTCAGCACCCCATCCATCCTGACCTTGAACACTTGCAGGGATAGGGCATCCACAGCTTCTCTGAGGAACCTGTTACAGTGCCTCACCAACCTCTGAGTAAAGAATGTCTTCCTAACATCTAATCTAAATCTTTCCTCTTTTATTTTAAAATCATTCCCCCTTGTCTTATCACTGCCTACCTGTATAAAAAGTAGCTCTCCCTCTTTTTTATGTCTGCTTTAGGTACTGGAAGGCCGCAATGAGGTCTTCCCAGAGCCTTCTCTTCTCCAGGCTGAACAACCAAAACTCTCCTAGCCTGTCTTCATAGCAGAGGTGCTCCATCCCTCAGATAATTTTTGAGATGCTGCACTAGACCCTAACAGATCCATGTCTTTCCTGCACTGAGGATATGCAGTGCTCCAGGTGAGGTCTCATGAAGGAAGAGGGGCAGAATCACCTCCCTCCACCTGCTGACCACTCCTCTTTAGATGGAGCTCAGGGTGCTGTTGGCCTTCTACGCTGACAGCACACACTGTTGGCTCATGTAGTTAGTTATGTGTGACCCAAGAGGCTTTTCACAAAGGTGTATAATTCCAGCATCTTGTTCTAGGTGTGTCCCTGAACCCATAACTCACAGGGAGTTGCTGGATGGCACAGAAGCTCTCTGGCAGCTGGATCCAGCATGTGAAGATACAGCTGCTTTTCTATCCCTTTGTGTTAGATAGACTGAGGTATAGAATTGATCCCTTGCTTGGAGAAACAGTTTAAACTACAGCTATGTATCCTTTCAGTCCGTAGAAAAGTGGGTTCACACCCCACTTCCAACATGTTCATGTACTTTATTTAGTTGCAGCCAATTGAATGCTTTGCTAGAAAAGATAGTTTAAAATGCATATGCCCACTGTACATTTTGAGTTAGCTGCAATTTGAAAAAAGCCAATAATTTAAGCCATCATTGTGAACAGCTTATGAGAGAACAACCAATTAGAGGCCCACCAATGTATTTGAAAAAACAAAAAAAAACAGGAAAAAAAAAAGAAAGCATACAGCAGACACAAAAATATCAGGAGAACAAAAAATAGGTACCAAGTACAGCAATTAGTGACTAATCTTATAGTAATTTCTATATAGAAAAGCAATAAAAAGATGCTGATGCTGATGTAAACTTTAGAAGAAATAAAAGCAAGAAGACTGTGTGACTGTGTAAATTGATCATGTAAAAGTGAGGAATTGTGCAGGGCTTTGTAATACAATAAGAGCAACTCAAGCAGGAAATCCCACTTTGTGCAACATTTAGTCTTTGGAAGGCCTGGCTGCTTCATGTTATCAAATCTTCATTAGGAAACCACTTAGGGGGACAAGTGAGGTAGTGGCTGTTCACAAACAATTTTCTGTTTCTGTGTAGGGTAAACCACTAGGACTGTCAATTCTTAGATACTTCACAGGGCACGCTGACAACTACCTGGGGGAAAGAATTACCCTCTGCATTGCATTACTCAAAAATTAGATGCATTGGAGAAGTTTGCAAGTTCCTCTGAAATACTTGCAGGAAACACAAAGGAAAGAGGAAGCAGGACATAGAGTGACTCTTAACGTAGTCTGGTCTAGCAATTCCACTGTCTCTACATAACTACAATGTATATCATTTATATATAACTTATTTGTTATACTTAATTGATTAATTTCCCAAATTAGCTTTTTATCGCTTATTCATCCAGAAAGGTATATAGAAACAATCTGACTGAGCATCCAAGGGTAAGCATCTTTCCCTAGCATTACTACTATGACTTTTCTAGTCTAGAAGTTGAAACTGTCTAAACTGACAGCACTGGAATCCCTGGTTCACCATCTGTATCCACTCAGTTATCTCCTGGCACCCATCAGCTATTCATGTCTGTATGTTCTATCACATGACTCCTGGTGGTTTATTCTCTTCTAAGCACTTTACATTCAGGTCTGACCTTACTGGGCTTCTGGTAAGTTTTTACAAATCCTTTCTTTGGAGACTGTTTAAATGGAGTTGCCTTTAAGACAGTGACCTGTGGTCACCTGGATGCCATTAAACTCTGGGCAATAATAGACAAAAATGACAATTATAAAATCAAACTCCTGCTTGAAAAATTATGTATACTTTGAGCTTCAAATGGATTTGTATCAGTTATATTTTCCATAATTATTTTTAATGCAATACCCAAGTATTGTAAAACTATATATACATATTTGTATCACTAGACTTAAAATACAACACCCAGTTCTGGGTTAGAGCTGCTTCTAGTTAATACCTTCCTGCTACTAATCCTTGAGCAATATTCCGTTCACCTTAAGGTGCAACACAGCCTGGGTAATGGCTAGTTCTTGATACTGTTCAATCCATCCTGAGTAATCTTTATAGACACTTAGAATCTCCTCCCTCTTCAGTCCCAGTTTTTTGTCTACTGAGGAAAAAACAGGAGTCAAAATAATCTTAGACCCTACAGAGTTTATGTGGCCACTGAAAATCACATTTTCCTAACAACCACTGATGCCAGACACCTGTTTCAAGGATACTGATTCTTTCTTTTCAGCACCTGAATCTCTATGAGTATGTGCAGAAATTGCTTTTCTGGAGAAAAATCATCTTTCGCTATTTAAGAAACATTCACTTTGGGGCCAAGCTATGGGATTCCAAACAATTTGGCAGAAGTTACAGACAAACAGTCTGTGATCTGGGGTGAGCCAAATGACACAGAATGTTTCATTTCAAAATTCTCTGTCAGAGACATGGTCTGCTTAAGGAAACAGAAGGAGCTGGGCATAACATTTTTTCATTCCTGCTGCTGGGTGCCTTCCAGGGAGACATCCCAACATACCATTGTGTCAAGGCTAATGCAGCTGTCAGGACGTTAATAAAGAGGGCCATTTTTTCCTAATTTTTAGGCTATTCAGTAGTCTTTATGAAAAGAGAACAGTAACAGATGTTTATCAAAAGGAGTGCAAATCAAGGTTCATGTTTATTCCTTTTTTATTATTTCATCTCCCATCCAAACAATGGTTTTCCTTTAATTCTTCAAATGGTACCAATATTTGCTGCATAGAGCATCAAAAATATTCACTTCAGACAGTATTGAGAAAATTTCACCAACAGAAGAGACACTAAGAAATGTGCATTTATTCTGAAAGCTGGAATATAGTAATTAAGCATTAGGGACAGTTGAATTACAAATATGGCTTTGCTGCTTCAATTTAGATTATTTTTTTCCTTGGTTGGATGTCTTACACAAGCATTGACGCTGCCATATTTGAGCCCTTTTCCCTGCACTGGTCCTGTGGTTACATCTCTGCTGACAACTAGGGAGAGACATACAGATTATAAAGTGTCTGAGCTGTACAGACCTGCACTGAGGCAGGTCTTTACCTGACAGTTGTCTCTACCTCAACAGCCTCTATTTCAGGACATGCATCCCACCCTGCACCCTGCTTGACCACACCACCCAAGTTTTCCTTCTAAGATCTGCTGCCATAGTAAGGAGTTCCTGCATTCCTTAACAGTAGTGAAAGATGCCCGACTCAGTAGGGATATATGAGTTCAGCAGAACAACTTTGCGCTCACATCTCAAGGTCCTACCTTTGACACTTGAAGGGGTCTTTTCTGCTCTGAACCCCCTTGCAGGCGGAAGCCCCAGGGGGCACCTCCAGACAGAGTGATGAGCATTTCTTCTTCAGCTCCCATGATTTCTATGCTTTAGATATTTTGTCTTCCCAACTTCAAAACAGATTTCAGTTCTTAACAGGCAGTATCTTCTATTCCCATCTTCACAATTCACAACACCACTCTCCAGTCCCCCAAAAGGCCCTCTGCTCACTTTCTCCCTGAAGTTCACACACACACAAGACAGTTGAGACTGTCAAGCCCAGCCTTCACTGCTCTTCTGGACTCTCAGCTGCTGCTCTGCCTATGATTAGACATTTGATTCTGCTCTTGGTAAGGGGCCAGAGTTGTCCTACACACGTGTCATGTCAATCTCACCCTCTGTGCCCCCCCGCATACACGATGGATCTCTCACAGGAGGGTGGCTGAAAATAGCACACCTCCTGTCTCTCCAGAGCTTTGTTTGACACTTTTAAAGCTGAAAGTAAAACTTAAAAATTAAAAAGCATTTCAGTAATAATTTTATTTCTACTTCTCATTCCAAATGTAAACACTAGAGTCATCCTGTACTCAGGATTCATTAGGCAAGGACACGTCACAGGCACAAACTTGTACAAGATCAGGTGATAGCACCTGACCCTATGAAATCGAACAAAAACAGCTTGCAAGTGATACGCTCTCCACTTGTTTGCTCCATGCAGCTGGTGTTACTAACTACACAGTAGCACTATGTGCCTGCCGTGAAAGCCTCAGGCAGACTGTAGATGTACTGTGCTCCCTCTGCAGCTTGTTGCTCCCTGACATCCCCTACATCCACTCATAATATTAGACACTGGGACAAGTATAGCTGGGATTAGCTACACAGACAGGATTCAAACGGTTCTCTGCAGGGCACTGCTTACATAGACTCCATGGCCAAGAGAACGGCTTTGCACCCAGATAGTAGAATAGTTTGGGTTGGAAGGAACCTTTAAAAATCATCTAGTCCAACCCCCCTCTAATGAGCAGGGACATTTTTCAACTAGATCATGTTGCTCAGAGCCCCATCCAATAGCTTGAGTGTTTCCAGGGATGGGGCCAGGGATGCCACTTCCTGGGCAACCTGCCCCAGTGTTTCACCACACTCATTGCAAAAGATTTCTTCCTTATACCTAGTCTAAATCTACCCTCTTTTAGTTTAAAACCATTACCCTTTTTCCTACACTACAAGCCCTACTGAAGTCTGTCTCCATCTTTTTTATGAGCCTGCTTAAAATATTGAAAGGCCACAATAAGGTCTCCTCAAAGCTTTCTTCAGGCTGAACAAGCCCAGTTCCCTCAGCCTTTCTTAACAGGAGAGGCCTTCACCCCTCTGATCATTTCATGGCCTTCCTCTGGACCTGCTCCAATGGGTTTATGTGTTTTCTGTTCTGAGAACCCCAGAGCTGGACTCAGGACTCCAAGTGGGGTTTTACTAGAGTTGAGAAGAGTCCTTCAGTGATTTTTCTTTTGGATCATGACAGATAAGACCTCCTGGCTATCCCAAGCCAGGGAGTTATAGAAGAATTAAAATCCATGTTCCCCCTTTGCTACAAGGCTTTAAGCATAATTTTCTGTTAGGATCCTGAGGACAAGTTTAGCTCTTCCTTATTCTGCAAGTGCTCACCTCTCAGTGACTAATATATATTTTACAGATATCTGTGATGCCCTAACATGCAGAGGATGTAGTTTTGCTGTGACACCATTACTTGGTTGACTATTCCATTGCCAGTACTACCACACTTCTCATTCGGTGCCATTGCATGGTGCTGGTGGGCACACACCAACACAATCATAGGACACTAAAATCATCAAGGTTGGAAGAGACCTTTAACATCATCAAGTCCAATCATCAACCCGACACTTCCACTGTAAACTCTAAACCACTAAATCCCATCACCCAGTGCCAGATCCAGATGCCTTTTAAGCACCTCCAGGGATGATGACTCCACCACCTCCGTGGGCAATCTATTCCAATGCCTGAGCACCCTAACAGTGAAAAAAAAAATTCTAATATTTAATCTGAATTTCCCCTGTCTCAGCTTTAGGCCATTTCCTCTAATCCTTTCACTGCAGGCATGGTAGAAAAGACCAGTCCCCATCTCACTACAACCTCCTTTCAGGTAGTTGTAGAAAGCGATGAGGTCCCCCCTGAATAAACAAACTCAGCTCCTCCAGCTGTTCATCACAAGATATGTTTTCTAATCCTTTCAGGAGCCTTATTGCCCTTTGACGGACACGCTCCAAGAGCTCAATGTCCTTTTCAAAGTGAGGGCCCAGAACTGAATGCAGCACTCGAGGTGTGGCCTCCCCAGTGCCGAGTACAGCGCGATGATCACTTCCCTAGTCCTGCCGTTACTCGGTAGTGAACAACCTTTGCATCTTGGCGCAGAACTGGCCCTGGTTGCTCCCATGTCGCGGTCCTTCACAGGCCGCTCGTGGGACACGTGGCCAAAAGCTCCACGGTCTCGGCCGCGCCCTTCCCGCAGTTCGGCGGCCCGTGCGGGCAGTGCCGGCCCAGCCTGTGCGGGACGGGCTCCGCGGCTCCTCCCGCCCCACCGGGACGTCACCGGCCGCGGCCTCCCGGCGCCTGCGCCGCATCCGGGCCCCGGCGGGCGGAGCGCGGACGTGGCAGCGGCGGGCGGGGAGCGGCGGGGCGGGAGCCGGAAGCGGGCCCGGCAGCGGCGGCGGCAGCGGCGGTGAGTGAGGCCCGAGCGGCTCTGGGGGGCCGGGGCTGCCGGCGCGGCCGTGCGGTGCCCGCTGCGGGCGGGCGGGCGAGCGGGCGAGCGGGCGGCACCGAGCCCGGCGGCCCAGCCGCGGCCCGGACCTGCGGCGCCGCCGCTTCCTCCCCCGCCGAGGCCCGGCGGCCCCGGTGGAGTGTCGCGTTGGGCCCGCCGTGCCCCGCGCCAGGGGCGGCTCCGCAGAGCCCCGGGGCTCCCGGGAACGCGTCGGGCGGGAGCGTCCGCATCGCCCGCGGCCCGGCGGGGGCCGGCGGCCTGCGGGGCCGGGCGGTTCTCGGCGGGGCCTGCGCTCCTGGTGCCCGGGCTGCCCCGAGGGGCCCTGGGCGTCCCGGTGTGGTGCGGCGGCTCCCCGCGCTGCGAGCCGGGCCGGCGCTCCCACCTGGAGAACAGAGCGCTGCTTTTCGGCCCCGGTTCGCCTCGAGGCAGATACCCCTCTGCAGCCTTCCTAATCTCCTGTAATCCGCGGAGCCTTCCCCTAGTGTTTGCGCTGTGCTGTTCAATCTTCCATTCATTCGAGCTTGGTAAAGCATGGTCGTCCCGGGCGGAGACCCGGCGGCTGAGATTGGTTCGATTTGGTTGTGAAACTTAGTGGTGGTCTAAGGAAGGCGGAAAGGAAAGGAGATGGCATGATCCGAACACAAGTGTAGTCTTGAAAAGGTGGTTATGCAATATGGCACTCTTGCTTTCCATGTAGATGCTGCTTTAAAGGTGTTTGTTTTCTGTTGTTGGAGTTAGCTTTCATTCTTTCAGGGCAATACTTTTTATGGAGTACGGTGAAGGTTAGTTTCCTTTTTTTTAGATTCGGAATGTACTTGAGTATTTTTTGCAGTGTGCGTGTGATGTCTTAGCTCTGAGATCGTTGTCAGAGAGACTTTGCAAAACCATCCAAACTCTGGCTGTAGTTGAAATTCTGTTTAACCTTACTGGCTGATGGAAGTGGTTGATGAAACATAGGTGAATTGCTTACACCTATGTCAGAAGTTGTCCACAAGAGTTAATATTTTACTATCATGTAAATACACAGATTTTTTTCAGTTTAGTGCTCAGCTGATTTGTAGCCATTAATGTGATAATTCCATAAAAATATTTTCTGATCTTTTCTGTTACAGGTTTCTGTAGTCAATTTTACCAAGTGTTGGGGGGATGTTGGGCAGAAATCACCATCTGAGACATAACAGGCAGTTATTTTTTTTGTTGTTGTTGTTTACAAGCAATGTAAAACCACACCACTAGAATGGGAGGTGACTGCTGATTTTGTACTGAAGTCTTTACTGTTTATTAATATGAAGTTGTCCTGAGTAAGTTTAGGGAGCTTTGGCTTTAACTTTTTTTTCTTTCCACCAAACTTCTACTAGAGTAGGTGTTCCAGTTATGGAGTGGATAGAAATGTATGTAACCTAAAACTTCAGAGCCTTCCTCTTTAGAGGAGACTTACTTTCAGTCACATATGCACACTGTCTGTGGAAGCATAAGTATTTCTATCCATTTTTATGTGGAACAGGTTCTTGCATCTGGAACTACCCCTTTCTGCTTGAGGCTATACTACTCAGGATTCTTTATTGCTATAGACAGACTGTAAAGTGGACATTGATATAAAGAATATGTAGTTGCTTCTTAATATACTGTGACGTTCACTCCAGGTTCTAATATCATTGATGAAAGCTGAGTTATAGTAGTGAACAGACACCTAAAGGATCATTTCTTTAATGAGTTGTTTGGTGCTTGTACCTCTTTGAATGTTTTTTTCCTACTACTGTAGGACTATATTATCTTCCTGTAACACTTATTATCAAAAGAAGGGTCAAAAATCCAAAGAAGAATTGATGGTTGGCTAAGGAAGGGCAAGGTACAAAGAGTGACTAACAGTGATCAACAACAAGGTCTCCACAGAAGAAAGTGGATGTTTCTTGTACTTTAGGCTTGAAAAGCTGTGTTAGGGTTAATTTGTGAAGATAGAGCTTGTTTTTATATATTCAGCAAGATTCATTGTTAACATAGAAAGCACTAAAAGACAGTGTAAACTGGGCAGTATGTATTAGGAAAAGCTAATTCTGACCTCTGTTTTGTTTCTTGCAAGTGATGGAAATTGTGTAAAGCATACTTGTGTAGAGGAAGTCAGAGCACAGAAATTTTGGATGAAAGATGGTCATAGTTACAATGTATGTGAAGAAATCTCATTTAGCATTATAAAATACTTTTCCATATAGTCCTATTATTCTCTTCTTCCTTCTGGCCTCTTCTCTAAACTCAAAACTCCTCATGTAACTTTCTAATCAATTATACTTCTGCAAAGTTCATAGGATTGAGTCAGATGACTTCACAAGTAACATGCATGTGGAGGTATCTAAGAAAGAGAGAAAGCTTTTACTATGATTTTGTTGGTGTTGTATTTTCAGTGACTTTTGCTTCCTCAGGGTTGCTCTTCAGAAGCAGTGCTCATAAACTGAGTGTTTTTCAAATCTTTTCCTAGAGCTTTACTACAGCAATAGAGATGTGAATCAGTCCCACCAGGAGACTTCAGTCAACAAAGAGTATAAAATGTTATTGAAGTAAAAATATGATGGTGATGGCAAGAGTTGGAAATAGTGATAGTTTTAAGGTTAGTCAAGACTAAGGTGGTTTTTTTGTATTCCCTATTTAACCACTTTCACTCTTGTAACCTGTATGTTGTATTGTACCTTGCCTAAGGCGATGAATTGGCCTAAAAAAAATGGGTTTAATGTGGCCCTTCTTTAGATGCACATAGAAGTG